ATGTGGCTGGCGCCTTAGCCGCTTGAGCCACAGGCTAGTTTTTTTTTGGTTGCAGCCATCATTGTTGTTTGGCGGGTCCGGGCTGGGGATTCGAACCCACCACCTTAGGTTTACGTGTCTGGCGCCTTGGCCGGTTGAGCTATAGGCGCCGAGCCAAAAAAAGGGCAACTTTTAAAGGATCCTTTTACAGTTCTTGTGTTAACCTTATGACAGCCCAGTGATGATCACTTGTCCTACTTAGAGAGAATAGGACTCACTTTCAGAAGTCCAGACATTTTTCTACCTTTTAGACATTATATTTCTTTTACTTCACTTCTGACTTTTATCATTCCTTCCTTCCTGCCTGCCTTCCTTCTCTTCCCTTCCTCCCTCCCTCTCTCCCTCCTTCCCTCCTGTCTGGATTGAGATTGTAAGTCCTTCTCAGTGAAGGGTAAGATTATGAGATCTGAGGGCTGTTTTAAAGCTAATAACTTATTTGTTAGGTATGTTGAAATGCACTGTGAAAATCTGGTAATTGATAGTTTCCCTATAGATAACATGTGAAGTCTTTCAGATATTATGTATAATATAATTATCTTTTAAAATTACTTTTTGTTAGGTGACATACTATAATTTCACTATTTTTTTTTTTTTTTTTTTTTTTGGCTGGGCCCAGTTGTGAACCCGCCACTATGTGGTCGTGCCCTACTCCTTGAGCCACAGGTGCTGCCCAAATTTGAATACTTTAATTGGCAGGAAGTGTACCACTTTCCAAAGTGCCTTATGCTGTCTTTGCACATCTCTCTTAGAAAGTACTCCTATATGAGCTAAACTCTGTGTCCTTCAAGGTTCATGTTTTATCCTCCAGACATATAAACAAATAAAACGTATTTTTCTCTTCCAGACATTTAAAATATCCTCTTTCTCTAAAAATTCTGTTAAGTCAGTAAAATGCATTCAACAGGGTCTAAGATGAAACTAACTTTTCACTATGTCTCACAGTAGCAAATAGTGAGGCTCTGATCTAGAATTCCAGGATTAAATGAGATAGTACACATGAATGTACAATGACAACTATGAAGCACTCTGCAAATGGAAGAACAATTACTGAGTCTTCCAAATTAAATCATAAGCAACCAAAGTGTAGAATCTATGCCCATGTTTGGTTTTTAATTCTTTTAATTATATTTAATAATAATTATAAAATTTAAAAAATAATGAGCCACCACGCCAGCCCTCATGTTTGGTTTTTTAAAAAAACTAAGGTTCTAAAACCTTGGCAAGGTGGCTCATACCTGTAATCCTAGCATCTGAGAAGCCAAGTCAGGAGGATCCCTTGAGCTCAGAAGTTCCTGACCATCCTGAATAAGAGTGAGATCCCTAGTCCAGGCACGCTGGCTCACACCTGTAATCCTAGCACTCGGGGAGGCCAAGGCAAGTGGATTGCCTGAGCTCACGGGTTTGAGACCAGCCTGAGCCAGACAGAGACCCCATCTCTAAAAATAGCCTGGCAGGTGCCTATAGTCCCAGCTACTTGGAAGGCTAAGGTAAGAGAATCACTTGAGCCCAAGGGTTTGAGGTTGCTGTGAGCTATGACTCCACAGCACTCTATCAAGGGCGACAAAGTAAGACTCTGTCTCAAAAAAAAAAAAAGAGTGAGACCCTATCTCTACTAAAAATAGAAAAATTAGCTGGCCATTGTGGTGGGCACCTGTAGTTCCAGCTACTACTCAGGAGGCTGAGACAGGAGGATTGATTGAGCCCAGGAGTTTGAGGTTCTGTGAGCTAGACTGATGCCATAGCACTCTAGGCTGAGAAACAGAGCAAGACTCTGTCTCAAAAAACAAAAACACGGTTCTCTCCCCTAAAAACATAGTATGATGCTATTAGTTTAATAAAGGTTTACTGACTGACTTCTATGTGCCACCTACTATGTTAGGGATAAAAATACATATGAATTCATACTCCTTACAACCAGGGAACTTAGTGAAATGTACAATAAACAACCAAGCGTTTACTCAGCACCTTCAACACTAAATGGGCACAGGTTTGGTGTGAGAGCTAAGCATTCATTAATACCCTGAAAAGAGATCTTGATGAGAAAGGGAGGAACCTTAGCCCCACTCAAATAAAAGCATCTCAGCAGACCCTACCCTTGTTCTTTCTGTTCACATCTTTACAAAGCCATAGAAAAATAAACAATGAATGTGAGAAACATGAAAGGAAAACAAGTTTCGTTTTTTCCCTCCTCAAAAGCACACAATCTAAGACAGACTTAAACACAACCTATTGGTGGTGACCCCTTTATAACAATGAAAATACATCGTGGCATTAGAAAGGCTGAGAACCACTGATATAAAACAATCTTAAGATTTCAATTCAGTTCATTTAGAATTTATTCATAATCAAAGTTTCTTACTGCAGAGTGAGACTGGTGAGCTTTCAGGACTGGTTCAGCATCCACTGCTTTTTTAGCAACCATTAATTGTAACATCTGTTTCCGGTACTTGCTCATGATGAGTTCCAAAGCATCCTGGTGTTCCTCCAAGGAAACCCACAGCTCTATCAAAAAAATAAAATAACTTGGCAGAGATGTCTGAGAGCTGGTTTCCAAATCTAAAGTCTTAACAATTGGAGTTTTATGACACTCCACGCAATATTATGAATCCAAGATTTAAGTCCCTAAAACTCAATAGTTAAAGTCCACGTAAAAGATAACTTTCTAAGCAGAGGCAGCAGAGTCTGGGCAGCATAGGTAGAAATACTATGGGATGTGTAATCAGAAGATACGGGTTTGAGTTCAGTTCTGTGACTTGGTTAATACTTAGAAGCAAAGATTTAACCTATTTTTTTAATTGACTGTAATAAATACCTGGCTTGTCTACCTCAAAATAAAGATAGGAGACTACAGTGGAATGATACATGTGAAAGTCCTCTGTAAACTGATACACATGTACAAGTGTTAATATTACCATCATTAATAACATACTCATCAAGCCTAAGAAGATATGCCCTTAGGATAAAATTCTGCTCTTCTACCCTGCACAAGAACATAAAACCTTAATCTTACCTCCAGTGTTAATTATTTTTGTTAACATAAGGGATTTTTAATGTTTTGTATGTGTAACAAGGTCTTGTTCTGTCACCCAGGCTGAAGTGCAGTGACAAGATTATGGTTCACTGAAGCCTCAGCTCCTGAGTTCAAGAGATCCTCCCACTTCTGCATCCCTAGGAGCTAGGACTGTAGGCATGCACCACCATGACCTGCTCAGTGTTTATTTTTAATTAATATTGAAACATTAAATTTTGGCTGGGCAGGGCTGCACATGCCTGTATTCCTAGCACTTTGGGAGGCTGAGTTGGGAGGATGCTTGAGGTCAGGAGTTGAAGACCAGCCTGAGCAAGAGCAAGACCCTACCTCTACTAAAAACAGAGAAATTACCCAGGCATGGTGGGGCAGGCCTGACCTCCCGGCTATTTGGGAGTCTGAGGTTGCTGTGAATTAGGCTGAGGCCATGGCACTCTAGCTCGGGTGACAGAGTGAGACTGTCTCGAAAAATTAAAAAAATTAAATTTTAAGCCCTTGAAGATATGAACTTTTTTGTTATGCATTTGGGGATGCCAAAAAAATATTTTTTTTAACCAGGCAATAATTAAACTCTAAGCACCTTCTGGATAAGTTGCTCATACATACAAAACCAGTCAGATGACCTTGAAAAGGGTAATCTAACTTTATTGTTACTGGGCTGGGACGGTTAAACCTCCTATTAAAACTACTGCCCTGGACATACATATAGAATGTGCACTTTTGTGAACTGCTAAGGAAGTTTTACAAGAACTTTCAAACTATTACCGAATATGAAAAAAATCACAACAACTACACAAAAAGGCCTGACTAACCTCTGTTTTCCTGCTGCAAGTCTCTAATCTGTGTGTTCTCTTGGGACAGCAGAATGTGAGGTTTGTATTTGGACATGTCCTTCATATCGGATGCATCCTCTTGATACTGGACAAACAGAGACAGACTAAGCGCGCTGTAAACAGAATAGGGGCAGATGCAACGAAAGAAGCAGGAGTCAGGGATCCAGGGCAGGATTCTTGGCCCGTCCCCGGAGAAAGGTCTCAACGCCGCCCTCTGAGACCGGGAATAAATTCCAGGACGAGTCGCCACTTCACATCGCTGTCCACCCTTTGCATGCCCAGAACCCGAGAGCACCGGACCCCTACCCTCTGCCTGACCTGGTCCGGAAGCGCCGTCCCCGCCTCCCGCATAGCGGCCACTCGCCGGTGCAGGGCCGCCGACTGATCCACCAGCGACTCGGCGGCGGCATCGTGCTCCCGCAGCCTCTCCAGCAGCGTCTTGGCGTCTGTCAGGATTTTTTCGATGGTGCAGCTCATAGTGGCTGCAAGACCCCTGTCCAGCTCACCTGTGCGATTTGCTCAAATCTTCCCTGAATTTGTCTCAGCTGTACAGGCGTCACTTCCGGGCAAGTTTCAAAGGCGCCTGGGGAGCCGCGATATGCGCTTGCGCAGTGGCGGCCTAGCCGGAGATTGACCTGCTGTAACCTGAGGCCACGCCCTGCGCGGAGCCAGAGATGAGCCATTGCCACACCCTGGATTTCCTGTTACCACAGTCGGGTGGGCAAGCGGGGCGGGTCCGAGGTTATCCTGCGCCTGCCGGTTTTGATTGATGTGCATTGTTACTCAACCATAGTTCTTTTCTTTTTTAAAATTTAATTTTTAAAAAACTCTAATAAAATATACATAAAATCTAACATCTTAACCATTTTTTCTTTAAAAAATTTATTTATTTTTTTAGAGCCCAACTACAGCACAGTAACATCTCAACCATTTGTAAGTGTATAGTTCAGTAGTTTTAAGCACATATATATTCTTACAACTGTCAGCAGCATCCATCTCCTGGAAGTGTTTTTATCTTGCAAAACTGAGACTCTGTATCCCTCAAACAACACCCCCATTCTTCCTTATCCCCAGCCCCTGGCAACCATCATTCTACTTTCTGTCACTAGGAATCTGATTCTTCCAGGTTGCTCACTAAGCGAAATCACACAGTTTGTAGTCATGTGACTGGCTTGTTTCAGTTAGCATAGTGTTCTCATCTTTGATCCATTTTCATCCTGACAGTAGCATATGTTAGAACGTCCTTCCTTTTTAAGGCTAATACTCCATTGTATGTATACCTGGTTTTGTCTATCTGTTCATTCAGAAATGGCATCTTGGGTTGCTCCCACCTTTTGGCTATTGTAAATAATGCTGCTATGAACAGGAGTGTGCACATATCTCTACAAGAGTCTGATTTTTGTTCTTCTGGGTATATACACAGAAGTGAAATTGCTTGAACATACAGTAATACTACATTTAAATTTTGAGGAACTCCCATATTATTTGCCACAGGATCTACACTGCTTTACATTTCTACCAACAGTCTACAAAGCTTCCAATTTTCCACATCCCTGTCAGTACTTACTCTTTTTTGAGATGGAGGTCTCACAATGTGGTCCTGGGCTCAATGGATCCTCCGGCCTGAGCATGGTTTGAGTAGATGGGACTACAGTTGTGCACCAGCAGCTCTCAGCCTATTTAACACCTTGGTGGGGGCAGTGCCTGTGGCTCAGTGAGTAGGGCTCCGACCCCATATACCGAGGGTGGCGGGTTCCCGGCCCTGGCCAAACTGTAACAAAAAAATAGCCAGGCGTTGTGGCGGGTGCCTGTAGTTCCAGCTACTCGGGAGGCTGAGGCAAGAGAATCACCTAAGCCCAAGAGCTGGAGGTTGCTGTCAGCTGTGATGTCACAGCACTCTACCCAGGGTGACAAAGTGACACTCTGTCTCTAAAAAAAAAACAAACCCAAAAAACAACCAAACAACTTTTTTTGATATATGCATACTAAGTGCTGCCAGTTAGAGCCATTGTTATTTCCTACTTGCCTATTTTTTCTGGTTTAATTCAATTAATAAAATGAAAATAAATCTAACCGTAACAACGATTTTTGTGTTGTTATTTTGGTTTATAAGAGTTAACCTTGTCAATCTTGTAAGTCAAATTTTGTTCTTTTTTTCATTGATTGATTTAATGAATATTTTTGGAGAGCCTTCTTCGTTTCATTCATTGTTTGGTTTCTGTGTGTAATAACCGAGCCCCCAGACTCTAACCCCCAGGACTAGTAAGAAATGCAACAAAGCCCTCATATTTGTAAGAACTTCTCTTAAGCCTTTTAGCCTCAGCCCCCCTCCTTAAGGGAGGAGAAGTTAAGGTCTGGGAAGAAGCCCAAGAAGATAAGGGAAGGAAGGGAGGCAGGGGTGAGCCCTGGGTGAAAAGGGCTGAAGTTGGTTTAAGGCCCAAGCTGCTCTCGGAAATTTACCAAATACCCCTCATTTGATGATTTGTGAGTTAATGTATCTAAAGTTAGCATGTACCCACACCCCAAATTGTGTAACCCCTTATGGTGCACCCCATCTTATGATGATGAAGTAATGTGTATCTTGTGATGTATAAATCAATATGTGCCCTCACCTTGCGAACCCGCTCTAACTGCTATGATTGGCTTCTGTATTGCGCTAGCTTGCTGACCCTTGCAAAATAATGGTATAAAAAGGCACTTTGTCTGGCAATCGGGGCTGATCGCCTTTGAGGTGATCCAGCCCACTTGCAGGAGTTAATAAATTTTGTCAATTATTGCATCAAAGTGGGGTCCACCTTTTTATCTCCGCAGCTCTGACCCTCTTTATGTGAACACAGCAGAAAATAAGATACAAGTTCTCTGCCTTTATGGAGCTTATATTCTAACAGAAAGAGTTCCTATTTTAATAAATGATTGAAGATAGGTAGTGAGGGGGTCAGAGAAACAGTGGGGAAATAACTGATTTTTCACCATTGTATTCCCAGGCACTGGCACAATGGAGACATTCAAGAATTTTTTTGTCAAGAGGAAGATGGGGAACAAGTTCAACAAAAATAACAAATAAGGATCACGGACCAAGAAGGAAAAAAATTAATGCAGAGCCACAGAGGTAAAGAGGTTTCAGTCGTTAATGCAAAACAAAAGAAAATATCCTCCCTGAGTAATCTCTTTCACTCATTTGGCTTTGACTTCCATCCAGGGATGCTGGGTCTTAAATCCATCTCTGTAGCCCAAATCCCTATCACGAACCCAGGATATTTTTATTTGATTGCTTATAGGATATTCCACAGGCATAACATACAGGAACAAATTTGACACAGTATGAAAGTGATCTCATCATCTAACTCTGATGGAGCCTTTGTTTCAATTTGTCTCAGTTTTGCAACTCTTTCTCTTACTACCATCTGTCTGATCTCATTGAGGTCTTTATATTCACATTCTCCCTGCCTATCATACTCTTTTCTCATGGTCTAATTTTCTTTCATGACAAAATTGGTCTCTTATGATTGGCAATCTAAATCATTGTTTCTCCAGCACCCCCAATTCCTTTGCACTTTTCTTCTTAGGCCAAACATACCAGTAAACTCCAATCCTTCCCCAATTAATGATTCTAACATTAATTATGTTAATTAATTAATATTAATTATGGCTTGGTAGAACTTGGCCTTGAAAAACCATAGGCCCTCATGATTATGGTGAAGGAAATCTCAACACATTAAGGAGAACTATTTAGTCTTCTTCTAAAAGGTGAGAAAAGGAGATATTAGTGTGTATCATACAAATGGCTGGTATAGAAACAAGGGAGGATAATGGTTTCTGGTTTTGCTTTTTTTTTTATTGTAGTACTTTAATGTTTTAAAGAAAAATTATTAAAAATACAGATTTTTAAGTACATTCTTGACAGATATATCTTCACCTACCTTTCTAAAAATAGTAGGAGTAAACACAATTGTAGAAAATGTATGTTAATTAGTCTTTGAGTGGTACAATACCATGGATTTAAAAATCTGAACACACTCCTACTTTCTGCTGCTTTGAAATCAGATTATGGCATGGAATTTATGTTAGGTTGGTTCCAAAATGGAACATTGGGTACCAGGCCAGCATTGGTAAATTGTGCCCATTTCAGCACAACTTCTCCAGCCATGAAAGCATAAGAAAATAATCGACCAACGGATTATTTGAGATCCAAGAAAGGAAAGGAAATCAGTTTTGTAAAAACACTTTTCCTTCTTTTTATAAGCTTCTTTATTTACTCCGGATAGTTAACATAGCAGTGCTGAATAGTGAAGTAGGCAGATTTTACACTCACTATTACTGGATGGATAGAAAGAGCCATATGCGTTTTTGTTTTTATAAGTCATCTCAGATCACCGCGATATGGCACGTGAAAACAGAGATTCACAGACACAAAGTCAATAAATACATTCAAGATTGTCAAGCATTCAAAAGATAAATACAATCATATAGCAAAAAAAATCGGTTTGTAACTTTGATCTTTCCCAAGGGTGTGAGGAATCTTTTCACAAGTCAGAAATCTCAATAGCAAAGATTCTCTTCTAACGATCGATCTAAGCCTCGGTCAGGAGATGGATGGTGAGCATGTTCTGGTGAATGACATTTTGCATTTTGTTTCATTGTGGAACACAAATGATAGGCATTACTTGAGTAATTTTGGCGGCCAAGTTCTTGTGCAGCCCTCTCCCTCTCAAAGCGCTCTGTCCCTAGTTGTCTTTTGGTAATGTCTAAATCAGCTTCCAACTGTGTTACAACATTTCTGAACTGGGCCACATCTCTACTCTGGATGGCCATTTTATTTTCTGCCAAACAAAGATGTTCTTTAAGAAGCTGAATTTCAGATTCTTTTTCTTGAAGTGCTATCTGAGACTGATATTCTTTGTCTCGATTGGCTATGAGCAAAGCTTCTAGATTTTGCATGGAGATTCTCTCGTTTGTCATCTGACTCCTGAGGACTTCTATTTCAGAACGAGCAGAATCTAACTCATTCTCCATCATTTCTATTTCTTGATCTTTAGCAACCAGCTGTCGATTAAGAAGTTCTTTGCTTGAGTCAAGTTTAATACGGAGTTCCCTTGTAGAAGATAAATCTGCAAGGGCAGACACTTTCTCAAACTGAACCTTCTGAAGCTCCTCTTCCATCTTTACAACAGACTTACGTAAGATAGAAATCTGGGACTTATAAGACCTTTCTGCATTTAAATGTTGCTCAACCTCTCTGTTGAGGGCATCTACTTTTTCTTTTAATCTGTTACCCTCTGCCTCAGCAGTGATAAGTTCCAATTTGAGGGTATTGTTTTCTGCCTCTACTTGACGGGCCTTATTTTCCCAGTTTTCAGCATCTTCATTGGCTTTTCGGAGCTGATCCATCATCTGCCGGTTCTCAGATTCTTCAGACTTTAATATATTCTTCAGTTTGTTAACCTCCAAATTAGTATCTTGGACTTTCTGGGTTTTTTTTTTGAGACAGAGCCTCAAGCTGTCCCCCTGGGTAGAGTGCTGTAGCATCACAGCTCACAGCAACCTCCAACTCTTGGGCTCAATCAAGTCTCCTGCCTCTGCCTCCCAAGTAGCAGGGACCACAGGCACCCGCCACAACACCGGCTATTTTTTTGGTTGCAGCCGTCATTGTTGTTTGGCGGGTCTGGGCTGGATTTGAACCCACCACCTCAGGAGTATGTGGCTGGCACCCCAGCCACCTGAGCCACAGGCGCCTAGCTGGACTTTCTGTTTTATGTCGTTAAGTTCATTATGAGTGTCATTCAATTTTTTGGACAGTGCCTGGTTTTCCTGTTTAGCTTTAGCAAACTGTTCTTGGAGATTGTCATTATCATGTGCCAAGCTATCTCTTTCCCTGGCAATTTGAGCTCCTCATTTGTTTCATCCAATTGCCGACACATTCTGGAAATGTCTTGTTCACACATAATTAGGGCTTCAGTAGACTGTCTTGATGCCTGTTCCGTCTCGGCAATAATATTCTTCATGCCTGAAATGGTCTTTTCCAATTTTTTCATCCAAGCACATAATTTTCTCCTGAGTAAGCTGGAGCTCATATTTTTTCTTAGCAAGGTGTCACTGAGTATCAGAAAGATCTTTTTCTGTGTTTTCATATAAAAGTCTCAAAGAATTGTTCTCTGCTTTTTGTCTACCAAGTTCACTTTCAGTATCCATTGCCTTTCTTGCTAGTGATTTCATTTCTTTTTTCCACGGTAGTTATGGTTTCCTTCATCAAAGTCATGTTTGACATTTGTTCCATACGTTCATCGTCAAGATTGTGAACTGTGCACTCCAGCTCCTCTATCCTCTGCTCCAAGTGAGCCTTCTCATTAATCGCTGTCTCTTGAGCAATCTTTAGTCTTTCCCGCAGACTATCTCGTTCTGTGGTCATTTTTCGTAAATCAGTGAAGAGTACGTCTCTTTCAGTCTCCACCTGCCAGAGAATAGCATGCGCTGCTGTTGATTTAGGAGACTTACAGCTTTTCATCATTTCTCTTCGAAGTTGGGCAATTTCTTCCTGTGCCTGTTCATAAAGAAGAAAGGTCTTGTCTCTTTCAGATGTAAGAACCTTCACATTACCCTGAATTTCTGCCAAATGATGCTCATACTTTTCCAGCATGCATTTAAGTTCTTCACGATCTCTTGCTGTTGTCTTCAAAAGTTCTACATCACAGTTTGCACCCCGGAGAGTTGGAGATGGGTGTCTTAGACTTTTAGATCTACTTTTCATCATCTTTCTCAAATTTTGAGCTTCGCACTTATAGTAATCTCTGTCTGCTTCTAAAGTCTTGACAAAGGAATCGAGTCTAGAAGATTTATTTTGTGCTTTTTCAGTCTCTAAAATTATAGATCTAAGCTTTTTTATTGTATCTTCCAATACAGCAATATTATTTTGCTGGCAAATGAGTTCAATCTTTGCTTCTTCTTCTTTTTTTTAATCATTCTTTTTATTTTTTTTTTGCTGGGGCTGGGTTTGAACTCACCACCTCTGGCATATGGGGCTGGTGCCCTACCCCTTTGAGCCACAGGCACCACCTAATCTTTGCTTCTTTAAGTTCCTTGTCAGTGGTATCCACCACAAAATTCTTCTCTTTTTCTAGTTGCTCTGCTAGTTGGTCAATTTTAATCAATTCTTTACAAAGATGCTCATTGTGGCTGGTTAAATCATCTACTTGACTGCTTACCACCTCCTTACTATCCAAGAGTTTCCTAACATATTATTCCAAGCCATGATTTATCTGTTTGAGATCTTCAATCTGTAATTTCAGTGTAGTGACGAGTCTGTCTTGGTTTCTCGCTTCTTGTTCTAGCTGGATAGTCTTTTGGTATTTTTTCAGCTTCAGAACCTGGAGCCCCTAGACCAAAATCATGTTCCTTGGTGGTAACCTGAGGGGGGCTCTTCTTCCACCTCCCTGGTGCCTCAGCTCCACTTCCGTCCCTCTGCTTTTGTTTTTTTAAGGATTTTTTTTTTTTTGAGAGAGAGTCTCACTATGTCACCCTTGGTAGAGTGCTGTGGTGTTACAGCTCACAGCAACATCCAAGTGATTCTCTTGCTTCAGCCTCCCAAGTAGCTGGGACTACAGGCACCCACCACAACACCTGGCTATTTTTTGGTCGTAGTTGTCATTGTTGTTTAGCAGGCCTGGGCTGGATTCGAAACCACCACTCTGGTGTATGTGGCTGGCGCCCCTAGCTGCTAAGCTACAGGTGCTCAGGAGCCAAGGAGTCTTGATTGTGTTTATAGTTTTTACAGTGGAAGGAGCCAGTAGAGAAAGAGATATAGGAAAGTAGAGGGACACTGGGAGAAGGAAGAGCCAGGAAGAGAAGGGAAATAGTAGCTTCTCCATTGATGTTTGCTAAGTGTTGACTGAGATCAAGAACACAGGTGAAGGTGCCAGACTTGAAAAGAACAAGGGGTATTTCATTCTCCTTAATTGGAAGACAAATAAGAAGATTGGGTACAAAAAAATAGATTCTAGGAAGGGATACATGAAGTTGAAGAGAGTTCTAAACTTTAAGCTGTCTCGACACTTTTATCTCACCCATCAAACCAGTAAGATAAGCTCAGGCACCTTTAGTGTTGTTTGTGAAAATTACATAAATCATCTAAGACCTCTTTTGTGTATTCTCACTTATTTCCATTTGGTCTCTTTTCCATGTGGGTCCTGTTTCTTGGCCCCACTTCCTCCTCATTATCTCACTCTTGCTCTTTGGGCTGGGAAGCATTTGGGGTTGCCCTATCTTTATTCTCAGCTCTCAGACTGCCCTACTAGCAATCCCACTTCTGCTTCTTTCAGGGTATATCCCTTACCCCAGTGATCTTTGAGAACCTAAATGCCAAATCTGACCCACAAGGCAGTATTCCTCCCACACTAACCAAAACTCTAGTGAGGGAGGGACTTGTATATTTTACTGTAAACTCCTCTTGCAGTACCATGCTCATTGTTATACCCATACCATACAGACAGGAAGGGAGGCTTATGCTTCTCCCTGAGCATGAGAAACTCTGTTCAGAGATGTGGCAGTGCAGGGTTCCGGGGTCAAATGGTGGTCCCAATCTTCCAGCAATAGAGGCAAAGGCAAAGATACTCTATTGTGTCTGGCCTGTACCACCACATAGCTCCTTGTTCAAACATCCATACCATACCTGTTGATAGCACTCTTTTGGTACCCCTGCAAAAAATGTAATTGTTCAAAATGCAAATCTTAATAGACACTTAGAATCTATGTATTGTTAGGAAGAAGCATAGATGGAAACATACTGGGTTTATTAAGTGCCCGATTTTGCTCCTTTTTCCTTTCCCATATTGTAAGTTTTCATTTTTTTTTAAATTGAGACAGAGTCTCACTATGTCACCCTTGGTAGAGTGTCCTGGTGTCATAGTTCACAGCAAGGTCCAACTCTTGGGCTTAAGCGATTCTCTTGCCTTAGCCTCACAAGTAGCTGGGACTACAGGTGCTTGCCACAATGCCCAGCTATATTTTTGTTGCAGTTGTGATTGTTGTTTAGCTGGTCTGGACCAGGTTAGAACCCACCAGCCTCGGTGCATGTGGACAGTGCTATAACCACTGTACTACAGGTGCTGAGCCCTATATTGTAGTTTTGAGCTCTCAGATCTGTTTTTTTTTTTTAATTCCTCCTGCTAATTAATGGCTTTGTAGGACTTAGCCTTCAAAAACCATAGGCCTTCATGATTATGGTGAAAGAAATCTCAACAAAATAAGAACTATTTAGTCTTCTCCTAGGAGGTCAGAAAAGCAGATATTAGTTTGTGTCATACAATTCTCCTTGTAAATGCTGATTCTAACTAAGAGTCATGTAAGACACCTTGACTTTAGGTGGCTATGAAAGTAACCTTTAATATCTAAAGTTCTGTGATTCTGACTGGTTGCCTTACTTAATAATGTATTGTCTGGGCAATAATAATTGAATTTTCTATTTTCTAAAAGTTTTAAATATACATTGTAGTAGATTAAATTCTCTCCAAACCATAATTCCTAGTACCTATGAATGAGATCTTATTTGGAAAAAGCACCCTTGCAAATGTATTTAAGGAAAGGATCTTGAGATCATCGTGGGTTAGAGTGGGCTGTAAGTCCAATGACGAATGTTCTTATAAAAAAAGAAGACACACAGAGATACATAGGGAACAATGCCATGTAAAAATGGAGGCAGAAATTAAGAGAAGTGTGTTCACAAGCCAAGCAGTGCCACAGACTGCCTGAAGACATCAGAAGTTTGGAGAGAGGCATGGCATGGATTCTCTCAGAAACTCCGAAGTAACCAACCCTGCTGATGCCTATGATTTCAGACTTGTGGCCACCACAACTGTGAGAGAAAAAATTATTGTTTTAAGCCACCAGTGGTCATTTGTTGTAGCAATCCCAGGAGACAAATATACTCTTGTAGGGTTGGTATTCTTTTTTTATTTTTTTAATCAAAAGGATATTGTTGACTGATGGATATCTTAGGTAAAAAAAAAGAGTTGAATTTCATTCATATTAATAGGAGAGGCTGTAAAAAATAGCTATTTTTGGTATTATTCAGTGGTTAAAAAAGAAGGAAATTTTGCCATTTGTAATGGTATGGAGGAACTGGGAGCACATTTTGCTAAGTAGAATAAGCAGACGCAGAAGGACAAACACTCTGTGATCTGACTCATATGTGGAATCTTTTTTTTTTTTTTTTTTTTTTTTTTGAGACAGAGCCTCAAGCTGTCCCCCTGGGCAGAGTGCCATGGCATTACAGCTCACAGCAACCTCCAACTCCTGGGCTCAAGCGAGTCTCCTGCCTCCGCCTCCCAAGTAGCTGGGACCACAGGCGCCCGCCACAACGCCCGGCTGTTTTTTGGTTGCAGCCGTCATTGTTGTTTGGCGGGTCCGGGCTGGGGATTCGAACCCGCCACCTTAGGTGTACGTGGCTGGCGCCTTAGCCGCTTGAGCTATAGGCGCCGAGCCATATGTGGAATCTTAAAACATCAAACTTATAGTAGCAGAGAGTAGAATAATGGTTTCCAGGATCTGGGGGGAGAAGTGGTGATATGTTGGTCAAAGGGTGTTCAGTTATAGAATGAACAAGTTCCAGAGTATAGCATGGATGGTGTTGGATGTGTTAGTTCAGTTGTGGTAATCATTATCAAAGATATTCTGTATATGATCATCATGTTGAACAACTTGAATATTATTTATCTTATTTTTTTCTTAAAAACATTTAAGAAATAAAAAGTAACATTGTTTTTAGGCATACGAAAAACGCCAACATTTCATACTGGGTTAGACAGAGGACATGGAAACTACTTTCTAAGCAGAGTGGAAGGACCAATAAATGCAGCCCTCAAAGACTCTGCATTTACTTTTAGAATCAAAATGAGGGTAGCTGTACTTTTAAAGGACAGCTGTTATTTTAAAGGAATTGGCAACTCATTCATTTTAAAAATCATATCTGTATTCATTCTGGTGGTTCTCATGTATTGTGCTCCAAATATTTCACAAGCATGCTGACAAATTTGAAAAATATGTTAAAACATGTGCAGTTGAACCACAAATTTGCCTTTATTACGCAGAAATATTAGCAAAGAAACTCTAGCTAATTTTCTATAACTAATCTGCATTTTCTTGTGAGCCTCCATACCCACTCTATCAGGTGATATGAGGAGAAAAAACCCTAGCTTTTATTGTGATAAACTTGGTCTGGTTAAGTAATTGAACAGTTGCCTTAAGTAAGTCTTATGTATAATTCAGTCTTTCAGATTTCTTCTTCTTCTTCTTCTTCTTTTTTTTTTTTTTTTGAGATAGAGTCTCACTCTGTTACCCAGGCTATGGTGCTATGGAGTCAGCCTAGCTCACAGCAACCTCAAACTCCTGGGCTCAAGTGATCCTCTTGCTTCAGCCTCCAGAGTAGCTGGGACTATAGGTGCTTGACATGATGCCTGGATACTTTTTCTATTTTTATTAGAGACGGAGGTCTCACTCTTGCTCAGGTTGGCCTTAAACTCCTGAGCCCAAGGGATTCTTCCCCCTTGGCCTCCCAGAGTTCTATGAGTACAGACATGAGCCATCTTGCCTGCGTGGTTTCCTCTTCTCTGCTTCAATCTGTGGAGTACGGATGTTTGGCGTTGAGGGTGAAGAGTACCCTTTTGTTTATGTATGTTGAACCCACCTTATAACCTTGGGATAAAACCAACTTGATCATGGTATATAATTTTTTTCATGTGTCATTGAATTCTGTTTGCT